TACCAAAATATGCAACTCATAGATAACCACAAACTTCACTTTTGTTAAATATCAAATGAATTAACTTTACATGTTATAAACAATGCAAATAAACAGTAGTTAAAGCATGTGGATCAATTGTGTGTTACAGAATTTGATTATTGGGGAGATTCCTTTTAAAAACTAAATTAGTTAAGATAAAAAAATGCATATAATGACCCAAGAAAATCAGTTTTAATTCAGAATTTGATTATTGGGGCCATTTTTACCTACCTGTCATATGGGGCCAATTTTACCGGGGCCATTTTTTCCGGGGCCATTATTTCCGGGGGCCATTTTTTCCGGGGCCATTCTTACCGTACACCTAATTTGGTAGGTGCACCTGTTGTGAGTTCCAGTGATCGGCACTTGGAGTGAGAGGCTGTCACCTGAAGATGTGTGTGTGTGTGTCTTGCCAGGTTTAGGTAAGTTGTAGCAATATTAGGCCTAAAAAAATAAATTGTTTGTCCTTTTTTTTAAATGATAAAAAATGGGCGGCTAGAAAAAGGTTTTTATTTTTTGTTTTTTATTAGAGACACTCATCAGATGGAATAAAAATAACCCACAGAGGCCTAGAATGGCAATGAATATCTTACATCAGACAACACCTTCAGACTAATTTGTAGAGCATCTGGCAAAGTATAAAGATAAATTCACTCACATTATTTTTAATTTGTAAAGAAAAAAAGCAAAAGTTTTTTGTTTTTCGTCACTATTTTTTTCAGTGAATTAGGGGAGGGTGGAGGAGGGCAAACAAACAATTTTTTTGGCCGTATTTAGGATTTTGTACATGTTATGAGCTTTTCTTTTCAGTTCAGTTTCGTCAATTCAATTGTGCCAACATTAGCACATGATCTGCGGTTCAAGATGCATCTAATCACTTTGTATAGTGATGTTTGAAGTCTGTTCTTAATAGATTTGTTAACACAGGGGTACGATATAGAGCTCCCATAATCGAAATGACACCGAGTAAGAGAAATAGCTTAAGAGCATAAGGGGTAAGAAAATATTTGTTTCTATACAGAAATTTAAGTTTACAATTTATTTTGCTAATTACTTTGATTCCAGTAGCACAACCTGAAAGATTTTGATCAAGGTAAAGATCAAAATACTTGATTAATGACTTCACATTTATACTTTTATACACATACATTTATTATTTATTTATATATATTTATACACATTTTCTTAGAGCCAAATAAAACTTGATTCGGTCTTACCTAAGCGTAGGGATAACTATCTATTAACCATTGATTAAGCGATTCGAATTATTTGCTTAATTTAGTTTCAATGTAATTAACATCTGTATTTGAAACTAAGGCAGCGGCATCATCAGCATAAAAAGAACTGAAATATGAGAAATGAAAGGGGACCTCCCTGGGGTGCTCCGATTTTACTTCTATCATTCACGATTTGGTCCCTTTAATATCAACAACCTGAGATCTACCGTGGAGGGAAGACTGCATTCAGGATACAGATAATGTAATAATTGTATAATAGTATCTCATTATATACATACAATATACTTAAGTTATTAGACATCAACATTAAAGTCTCCAAGAATAATGACTTCTTGATAATGTAAATTACCCCCACAGATAGTCTCAAGTGAGTTGAAGAACAATCGTGGTTTATCTGGTCTGTAACATACACCAATTAATATAGGCTTTGTTCTGGGATTGTCAGTGCACAAAGATTAAGAAGATCATTATGAAGATCATCTCTCCTGATGTAGGTAAAATCATTGCGTATATAGTATAGCATGGAGGTATAGTATATAGGCAAACTCCTCTTCCAGAATTTTTTTTTGTCTTTAGTGGGGTCTTCCCACTGCAGAAACATTGCAAATTACAAATATAATAGTCATTACTGACATGTCAAATACAAAGGAAACTGGTAACAGTCCTTAAATATACAAAGAGTTTTTTTTAACAACTGTACATGGGGAAACCCCATTTGATTTATCATGATTTGTTTTAGTTCTTATTTGTTATAATAACTTGTATACACATTTCTTTTTTAAAAAGATTGTTCCACTATATTTTAATGAAATCACCATTGTTAGGTTTATAGTGTTCCAATACTGATCTGGTCATATCTAGAATTATAATATCTATTATTATAATAATTATACCAAATACCAGATATCAGTTTTATACATTTTTTAAATTATTATTATTACCTCCAGTATTTTCCGTAATTCTATCTTTCTTTTCTTTCTATTGAATAGTTTTCTATGCCAAATTTCTTTGTTACTCACAGATTCATTGAGCCATGATTCGCTGATTGCGATTACGAAAGATTTAGTTTTCATTAAAATAGGACGAATTTCCTCGATTTTTGGGAGAAGACTTCTATTGTTGAGGTGCAAACAATGCAGCCCCTTGCTAAAATATCGGGATCATTAGGAGGGTGAGTGTGACTAGTTCAGGTATGGATTGATTATCAGTATCAGTATAATAGGAATCGATGTAGTCAACATTGATGGCGTATGTGAAAATAAATGTTGACAGTGTAGACAAACTCCTCGCCTGTATTATATAGTTCAGTATACTTTTTTAATGGAAAATTTATACATTTTATGAGTGTCCAGCCTATAAATTTATCACACGATATAACACCTTTAGAACAAACTATGCATGGACATTAGGAGTTTTTGATTTTGTAGGGCCTGGGTAAGAGTATATAGAACTATCGGCTTTAGTCTTGATAGTCGTGGATTTTAGCCTTGAAGAGCGTATGTGCATAAAGAAGAGACTTGTTGATTAAGTAAGTAGCTCATTATTTGGTTATACATGATACATTCAATAATTTAAAAAACTGCTGATGAACTTTAAACTGGTCTATAATTTTCTGAATGTAATCGGTTTTTCTTTTTGTATATAGGTATGACCTTAGCATATTCCAATCACAATGAACACAGCCGGTGGTAATGGATATATAATATTACAATATGGGTCGGTGGTTGGATCATAGCCATCGCTCCATCTTTTGAGGCATTTTGCAGGTAAAAAGAAATAATATAGACCAAACGAGAAAATTCAAATAATAAAATGATAACAATAAAATAAAATAAAAAATAATAATCATAATAACAATAATAACAATAAACTAGTTTTGAGATGCAAGCAGTGCAGCCCCCTTGTATCTAAAGTTATCTGCTAAAATATCGAGATCACTAGGAGGATGAGTGACTGTGACAAGTTAAGGTATGGATTGATTTTCAGTATCAGTATAATTAGAATCGATGACGTCAACATTGTTAAATGGCAGATGTGAAAATAAACATTGTTGACAGGCAAATTCCTCGCGTTCTATACATTTATACATACATACATACATCCAGCCCATACATTTATCACACGATATAACACGACTAGTTTTTATGGCACCAAACTAAGCATGGACATTTAGGTGTTTTTGATTTTGTAGGGTCTGGGCATGGACATCGCTGGCAAGTAAGAGTCCAAGAAGTAGAATAGATCTATCGGTGGATTTTAGCCTTGAAGAGTTTGTGTATAGACTTTAAATAATTGTGTAACAAAAATGCTGTACAACTTACATTGACCGCTTTTGAAAGATTTATCTGCTTCGCACTCTACAATAAATTGATTAAAATCTATATTAAATGGCTTAAAATCATTCAAAGCACACAGGTCAATTTTAATCCGTATAGTAGAGATTGTAATTATGAAAAGCAATTGGAGTAGGGGCCTACAGCATTGTTGATCATTTTGAAACCGATGTATGAATTTTCTTTACAGCAAAGAAGAGGCCGCCGTGAAGTTAGGCTTGAGGTGTTTCGCGGAGTGACGTCATGAGAGTACTGGCGGGTGATTTAAAACTTGCTTAAACACTCAAACCGCTATGTTGCTGGGCTTACTAGGGTCGAGGCAAAAAGAACATCAAAATTGTGAAATTTAAATGCAATATCAAGTATAAAAACAATCGTCAACGGAACACCACTAAAGCATTGATCGCACATTAACCGATAATTCTTTTACTTTTGCATTAGTAAGTAAATTCCAGTAAATGACCCATCATTAAAACGCTTATAATGTGAGAATAAATTCTGGGATGGCATGCCCCAATTTTATATGTTCATGGCTTCAGTGATTTCCTTTAATAAGTTATTTTTTAACTGGACCCCGAGGACAATATTTTTACACTTGAGTATTCTTCAAAATAAATAAAATAATAAATGAAAGTAACAACTATAAATCATACATTAAACATGGTTGGTAAACTTCATCAAACAAGGTAGGCCTACAATTAAAGTGATATTATAAGCATCAATATAGTAATTTATGAAATATAGGCCTTTGCACATGTGAATGTGCAAAGAAAATAGTCTACAATTTTACCAATTCGTCACCAAAAATTATTCACCAATCACACTTGCACTATATTTTAAATCTTATTTTTCTTGCCTCTGTCTTTTTTCAGTCCTGATTTTTTTTTTAATCTAGTGTTTTGTCATGTCTTTCTGGTTCACATATTTACCTCTGATTCTATTTTCATTCCGAGGTTTCCTTTGATTAGAATATATTTTAGTATAAAAATAGATTATACTCTTCAATAATGCATAATACACTTAATTATTACCAGGCTTATTATTTTATTAATAAGTTCGTACATAAACATGAACCGCGTAATCATGACTGTGAGTAATTTCTAAATAAAAAATAAATTTCCTCATGAAATTATTATTTTTTTCAATGTTTATAACTAAAATGTTGAGGTAGTAGCTTATACTAATACTCTTTGATTAATTTCCCTTTTTCTTTTTTGGTTCCTATGCTGTAAAGCAATAGGAACCTTTGAAATGACCTGGATGTTAGTCTGTACGTCTCTGACGCTGATGTCATCAAATTTGTTGATAGATTGTAAACAAGCGAAGTTGAATTTCCAAACTCCTGTTAGTTATGAATTTTTGCATACATGTAGTATTTACAGTAGCACAATATTATATAATATTATTTATTAATTGAAGTGCCGAAAGTCATTATATATAATGTCATTATTTATAAACAATTGTTTTAACAAAGTATTATTTATAAACAAGGAAAATCGCCCCACCAATTATTTATATGTAATTGTTGGAAGCAAAACTATTTATATGGATATAATGAGAAAATGTTGAATGATATATTAAATAATGAATTATATGTAGGCCTATATATTTTTTGTTGAATAATGAAAGTATATTTGGCACCTCATAGTTTATATCTGGTGATAATATTTGTATGTTTCAATCATGTCAATCATACTCCTCCTTTCTGTAAGTGATGTTTCGCCAGAGACTTAAGCACCTTCCCTGTACCTTTTCTAAAGGACTTATACACTATTATTATTAATTATTTATCTTATTTGAAAAAAAAACCCCGAAAGGTCCACTGATTAATCTCAGATAAGAAAGTATAATACATACTCCAAGTATTGAAATACATGACATAATTAATGTCGAAATATTGAATCCCAACACGATGGCGTGTATTTCAATACTTGGAGTATGTATTATACTTTCTTATCTTATTTGGTTGTTGGTTTCCAAACAACTGATCCATATTCTAAGATTGGTCATATCAATGACTTGTAAAAGCGGTGCAACTTTTATCTTCAGAAAATCTGCTGAAACATCCTCTGGTTAGCCTTTAAACATCACTTTATAACATTTTGTTACTGGCAGATGTCTTAAAACCTACATCAAAAGAAATATTACTTGTTTGGCGTAAATATGTATTGTCCCCTGAACGTGACAAAATTCATATAAAATGGTGTTAGTCCTCAATTTTAATAGTGCATTTGTAAATGCACTATTAAATTTAATTTAATTAATTTTATTAATTTTAATTTTATTTAATTTGTAACCAAATGCAGTACAAAAAAAAATCCAAACGCATGCGTTTTTAGATGTACATTATATTTATATACTGTAATAGTCATGCTAATTTTATTAAGCAATACTTGAGCAATCGCGATTGTGTTATGCAATCAATAGAGGGAAGCAAACAAGACACACAAGATTTTGTCCAAAAGGAAATTACAGTAGGTGCAAAAATACATTGCAAAAAAATTAGTGTTTGCGCTTGGTGACAGAATGGGCGTGAGGATCAATTCAATTAAATCTTTATTGTCCAATATATATAAAAAAAATATATCAGAAAATCTTTGTTTATACACTGCAACAAAGGTAGGAAATTCAATATATAAAAAAAAAATAAGAAACACAATTCAATTTACAATTCAAATAAAAAGCTAAATTATTAATACATTCTGCGTGTAGGGAAAGAACCAAAATCAAATTGATTTTAATGGATTTTGTTAATCTAATGAAACAACTATACTGTAGGTCAAAGGGACATAAAAACAAGGAGGTATAAAATAGATACACCCTCTAACCTAGCTACATTATCTATCTGAAATTACTTCAACTTTATTGTCTTTGTCTTGTATTATTTGGTGTTCCAATTTACCCCTTCTCTTTCCAGGATTTTTTTTTTCATTTAAAAAAAAATCTTTCCTGTTCTTATTTTCCTTCTCTTGCACATATTTGTATATTTGGACTATATTTTTCCACATTTGATTTGTCATGTTTCACTTTTGCTTCTCTATTATTTCCCCTCTCTTGCTCTTCTTGTAGTATCCTCGTATTCGCTCCTCATTTTAGTCGGTTTTCTTTTGGTCTCTTCAATTAATTTATTCGGCTGCTATTGCATTTGCTTTCTTATTGTGATCTTTTGGTTTTGTATTCTTTCCTTATGTATAATTCTGGTCTCATTTCATTCCTCTTTAAATTTAAAACCATGTATAATGCATACAGTGATCTGTAGTTTGTTTGTTTGCAGATGACCGACAAATCTCTACTGCAAGATACATTATATGTATCAAAGAATCAATTGCACTGTAAGTATCAAGTGAAACATACTAAATTTACCTTATCTTATGAAATTATAATTTATTATTAGTCTGATCTTGTTTGTCCATTCCTTCAACTTATAAAAAATGTTTCTCTTTATCTGTTGATTCTTATTCTTATTTTGGCAGATGCAACGACAGAGCATGACCAATGTTTAAGACAAGAAAAGTTGGAACATCTTAGAGTTGAAAGAGTAATCCTGGTGAAAGAACACAGACAACTATTGTATTATTAAAAACTTGCATCATTCTGAAATAATGGTCATATTGTACAGAAGACACGATCAACTTACAATAAAATGAGGAACCAGAACTACTTAAATTAATTTTTCTAATATAGGCCGTGTAAAGCATATTAACTTTGTTAATTTGGTTATGCCTAATAGTTTGCAAGGCAATTAAGAGAGGATACTGGAGTTTAGTTCAACATCTTGCTGAATATTGAGACAGCTTAATTATGGTGAAAGAAAACATACAGCGATTGTATTTTGAAGGAATTTAACAAATTATTTTTAATGACATGTTGTAGCAGCATCAAGACAGCTTGCATCATTTCTAAAATATTGAACCAAGAGAGACCGATTCCAATAATTAATTGAATCCAATTTCCTGGATGATGACGTAATTAATTCCTGATGATGATATAATGTGGAAATATTGAATATCGACAAAATGCTATAGTATGTATTAGGCCTATACGATCTTATCTGAGACTAATCAGTGGACCTTTCAGTTCATATATTATGTACATTTATATAAATTCATATTATATCATGATTTTAGTTGTAAAGTTTTTATAATAAAAAATGTAAGTAATGTGTTGATGTGTTTCTTTGCTGGTTGTGTCTGAAGACTGGATAAGCAGGTAAGACAAAGAAGCGCCCTCTAAAAGAAAAAGGACTAGGTTTTCCATTTTCCCTCAATTTGTATTATAGTGGTGCTGAAGAGTGCCCTCTAATAGAAAAACAAAATTTCCAGGGTCTCTAAATTTCTGTTTAAAGGGGTTCCCTGTGGTGCTGAAAAGCGCCCTCTCTAGCCATTTTATTTCTACGTTTTTCAGGGTCTCTTTAATTGTCAATTTCTATTACAAGGATGATAAAATGCGCCCTCTAATAGTCAATTTTTCAGTGCCAACAATTGTTTGTGGAGTTCTGAAAAACTGGGATTTTAGAGGGTGCTTTTCTCTACCAAAGACAATTAAGAGACCTTAAAGAACTTGGGGTAAAAAGGCTAATTGAGGGCGCTTTTCTTCACTATTTTTACCAGAACTCCACAGACTAAAGTGGCCAAAAAACTTAGTCATATTTTGGGCCTTTTTCTATTCGAGGGCGCTTTTTTTTTTTGGCATCCTACCCATCCAATACACAAGAAGACCAAACAACTTTGACTACAATGAAGAGTTTTTCCAACATTTATTCAACACTATATAATAAAATGCAATGAATATTTAAATTATAAAATACAATGAATATTTATTTTTTCAATACTAATTAAATACATTAAATATTTATTTTAAATACTAGAATCGTGCAATTATCTAGAAAACCAAGAAAGCAACATTATAGATAACAACTGAGCAACTGGTTTGTTGAGATCTTCAGAGTTGTCCCTGAAATATTATAGTAAAAGGAATACATAAGTCTAAAGTAAACATAATTATTGTTATGGACATAAAGCACAAAAACCAACTGTGAAATTATATTTACAAGCCTGTTGCAGAGGGAATAATTAAAGTAGACAATTTTTATTGGGGAAAAGAAGAATAAGTACAGTACAAACATCAATGAAAAGGAATACAACAATAAGTCCATTGCTAAAAAAAAAAATAAGGGGTTTAAATTATTGTGTATTAATAATTACTTTTTGTGACATTTCACAATTAATATTAATTTCCATTGGTAAAGAAAAAAAAACTATTAATTTGTGTATATTTGTGTAAATTCTTGTTACTAATATTTTATTAATGTCTTGAATTACGATTAATACTATGATTTACATTTTGGATTGCCCAAATCATTTAAAACATGGTTTAACTGAGCCTTTAAATTACATATCAATACCGTATTATTTTTATTCTAAATCAAGGTTAATTAGTATTAAATTTCACTTTATGAGCATTTATGTAAGTTACAATTAATTATTAATCATATTAAATATGGTTAAACTGACCCTATCCCAGACGGTAAGTTTAGACCCTATTGTGTATAGGAGTGGAGTTAAGATGCTTGTGGCAGGATTGAATTAACAACACTCTTTATACAAATTATATTTAAATTATACCATTTACTACTCAATATTTTTACAATGTGTTTTTTTATTATATATATTTAATCTTTATCAGAATATTTTTTCTTACAAAAGTATAATGGTCATTTGCAATTTAATACTAATTTACATAGTTTTGTTAATTGTTTTGACATATTAATGACAAAATGAAACAATTTTATTATTTTGATCTTTGCAATTGTATTACTCTGTTAATTATATTAATTTTCAATTAAAACCTTATTTTATGAAAACTGTAAAGATTTATTTTAGAATAATTTAATTAGGGAATATAAGTTTTTTTTTGTTGTAATATTGAAATTAAAATGTTTATTTTTAGTGTTGAATCAGGTCAAACTTTATCCTACAAAGCATTTAACAATGGACATGAAATTCATAATAAGAACAAGTTTTTGTGACTCACCATTCAGCAAAATTAACGGGCACAAAACGAGAAAGCAACTATAGCCACTGGTCCACAGGTTTGCTGAGATCTTCAGAAGAAATACTGAAATAAAATACATACATTCATAAAATAAATATTTAGAATAAATAAATTAAAAGGAATTAATATTTAAATGTTTATTAATTTTGATTACAAATATTTAAACTGTAATTCTAGAATAACAATTTTCTATAGCCAACAAAAACATTATTTTATTATTATCACTTCTTAAATTTCAACAGTAGGTCAAATAATGAAATTTTAATATTAATCATTAATTTAGTTATTTTAAGAACAAGAATTATATAAATGTATTTTATATTAATAAATATTTATACAAACATAATAAAATAATGCAAAACTCTAAATAGTATTGCTTGTACAAAGTATTTTCTTCCCCATATTCCTGACTGTAAAATAAAGCCTACACACACACCTGAAAATATAAGCTGTTGTTTTCTGCACAGTTTTTGTTGAAAATCAGGTATTGGCCCAAGTGTATTATGGTGGGCAGTGGCTATCGGCACTGCCATAGTCGCTGTTATTGAAATTGATGTTTCGATTGATAGATAAATACATGAATATATGTATATATTATATGTAGGCCATTGTAAGTAGCAAAAAAAGAAATAACATACTTCAGAAGATATATATATATATATATATATAATTGTTGAACTAATTATCATATATGTTTATCTTCGCTATTTCCATAAACCGACAAACACGAAGATCGCGATTAAAAAATTACCACTTTTTGAAGCCAAAAAAAAATCGTATCAGGAATCTTGTATTTATTAATTAAAATATATTAATATATTGTAGTTATAAATCACAATGTTTATATCAAACTATTAATTAATTATTAATTATCTATTTAAGATATTAATTAAGATATTTAGATATTAATTAAGATATTCATATATATATCAACAATCAGGTGTCGATCTGTGATTGAAAGTGGGGAAGGGACGAATTGCAAAATATAGAAAAAGCCTTTGAATGGTGGGGGGGGGTCATAGGGGCGAATGCCATTAAAGCTCTGGCGTCTAATAGCCTTTTGTAAGTAGGCCTAGTATCTAATTGATTTTAGTGGCGTAGTTAGAGGTTTTGGCGCCCGGGGGAAAAAGTAGGAAATTGCGCCCCAATTATAATTTATAATAATTGTGAAATATTGCCTTTAAGCATATCCGTACCGTACTTAAATACCCGAACGAAATGTCTGTGACAGGTAGTCATTAGGCCTACAGAAGAGAATAAAAAAAAAGAAAAACGGTCGAAATAGACTGAAAAGAAAACACAATCTACAAATTTTCCAATAAAAACAACTATAATGTTCATTTTTTTCACTGATTGATTTTAATGAAGCTTTTTCACAATACAGTGGCGGATCCAAGAATTCAAAATAGACTGGACCAAATGTGGGACTTTTAAATCAATCAAGAGGTTTTTCCTTTTATCCCCTTTCTTAATTTTCTCTTGTGCAAGTAGTATTGCGACTACACTATTGAGAGTGGAAATACTTCCGTCTTATTAGTCTAATCTAATCAAACAGGGCTAGGGAGATAGGAAGCATACAAAACATTATTTAGCATTTATATTTCATAAACATAAAGGTGATTTACTTAATTAATCATTATCATGACGTCATGGTGAGATTGCGTCAACAGAGTTCGTAAACTTCTGGTATCACTACCGGTACTTAAATAAGTCGAAATAGATAGACCTATCCGTGCCAAAGGCTGTACTGTATAATTATTGTTTAATAATGGCTATATGAAATTCAATTTACTATAATTATTTGAAATTAGGAAAAACAGGAATATATGTATTCTGATAATATTAAACAGGTCTTAATAATATACAAAAGGAATAAATCATTTATAGTATAATTGTTCACTTTTGAGTTTGTAAAAATGTTGGCCTAATACACGCTTCCGATTTTTACAAAGTACCGTACATATGTTTTCGCAATAAATTAACACTCTGATAACGCACCCATAAAATCGATGGAGTGGTTACTGACATGGTTACGAAATGCCAAAAATTGCGTTTTTTACTCAGCTTTGGCACCGCACTTGAAACAAAAATGACAATTGGCAGAACAGTTGTGTCATGTTTTAATAAAGAATTATGTCAATTTTATTCGCGATCTGAAGTAGAGTGTGGATGAGGACCATTTAAAAAATTAGTTTACCGTATTACCGTAGGCAGAAACAATAGCTATATGATAAATATTTAAGTTAGTGCAGTTACAGTAAATGTGTACAGCGTTTATATTAACTAACTTCACTTTTTTTTTTGAACTTATTATGAATATTTATAATTCATCTTTTCATTTAAACATGTGACTCTAAAAACCAAATCCCGTATTTCTATTTCCATTTCAACACCAATACATTACATGTATTTTGCTTGTCAGCTATAAGAGCAAAACTTGCCAGTAAGTTAAACTAGAACATGTCAGGAATTGGCAGGTGTACAACTGGTACAATAAAAACCGTGAATTTATTACATTTTGGTGTCATTTGGTGATTACATTTATAAGATTATTTTTTTAAAAACGAATAAAAGTGATAAAATTGTTATTCAAAATACAGGTTTTGCATATACGTAAGTTGATTTAATATGCTGATTCATTATTATCTCATTAATCCAACTATCGTAAATAGGCCTATTGAAGTATTATTAATTCATTATTAAAGTATTATTCCAGCACTGTTTACTATTATTATTATTATTATTTTATAAACTATTCATAAACCATTGTATAACATTGAAAAAATGAATTATGTGGACAAAATTATAAAAAATAAACTTATAATTTATATGATTATTTTTTAAAACAGAATGAAATAGATAAAATTGTTATTTAAAATACAGTTTTTGCATAGACGTTAGCTGATTTGAGATAATAATGTATTAGCATATTAATCAAACTATTGTAAATAGGCCTATTAAATTATTAATTCATTATTAAAGTATTATTCGAGCACTGTTATAATTACTGGTATTATTATTATCATTTTAGATCTAATCAATTGTTGATACAATAATGTCACTATTAGTATAATGTTGTTATTTTTTAAGACAGAATGAAATAGATAAAATTGTTCTTTAAAAGACAGGTTTTACATAGACGCAAGTTGATTTAATATGCTGATTCATTATTGTCCCATTAATCAAACTATCGTAAATAGGCCTATTAAAATATTACTAAAGTATTATTAATTCATTATTAATGTATTATTTGAGCACTGTTATTATTATGGTGATTCTGCGAACCTGCTTTCCTGTCGATTTTCTATGCATATTTGAGCTACTTTTTAACGTCATCCGTGCAATTAATTAAAATACTTTACACTATGGCCCATATTGAGTTTCAGTTTTAGTTTTAGTCACTGATTTGAACTTGTGTCCATACCTACACGTTTATATTTTTTACATCGTTGAGGGCAGTTTGGGTGTCTATAAAACAAAGACCCATAAACGAAGACCCCTATTTTTTTTCTTTCATTTTGATGATAATACACTAGGCTGTCAGAAAATCATCAGTCATATTAATGATATAAATGAAATAATTTTATTATTTTGATCTCTGCAATTGTATTACCCTGTTAATTATATTACTTTTCAATTAAAACTTTATTTTATGAAAACTTTTAAAATTTATTTTAAAATAATTTAATTATGGAATATAACAGTTTTCATATAAACATTATTGAGCATTTTTATTTTACAAACATAAAGGTGATTTACATAATTAATCATTATCATGACGTCATGGTGAGATTGCGTCAACGTAACATCAGAATTTGTAAACTTCTGGTATCACTACCGGTACTTAAATAAGTCGAAATAGATAGACCTATCCATGCCAAAGGCTGTACTGTATAATTATGTTTAATAATGGCTATATAGAATTCAATTTACTATAACTATTTGAAATTAGGAAAAACAGGAATCTATGTATGCTGATAATATTAAACACTATATACCGCAGTATATACGGGTCTTAATAATATACAAAAGGAATAAATCGTTTATAATATAATTGTGCACTCTTGAGTTTGTATAAATGTTGGCCTAATACACGCTTCCAATTTTAACAATATATAACCCTCTGATAACCGCACCCATAAAATCGATGGAGTGGTTACGGAGATGGTCACAAAATGCCAAAAATTTCATTTTGTAATCGGTTTCGGCCCGGAAATATGCAGCGCACTTGAAACAGACCACAAGTAAACAGACAAAATTCATAGTCATTCGTAATTGTTGTTCTTTCCACTCGATTTGAAAAGTGGGGTTTTAACTATAGAAGATTTGATCAAAAGTGGGTTCGACAATTGGTATGATGTCCCCCTACTTTGAAAATTGGGGGACGTGTCCCCCTGTCCCCACCGATAGACGCCCATGATTAAGATATTCGTCAGTTTGTGTAAAAATTATTTATAATATAATTGAAGTTTAATTATACGGTATTTTGACGGATAGGCCTATTCCTCACCTCGTGTGAATCATCCTGAGCTCTATTTATCAAAAACACGCGGTATTGCGCGATGCTATTAGCATTTGCATACACGAAAACACATTGGCAATGTTTTTGGTTTATTTCTTACATTTACATCCAGCATTAGGCCCAATAAATTGTTTAAATGCTTAAATAATTGGAAACATAAATTAAGTGGATAAAATTATAATAGAATTTACAATAAAATTTATAAGATTATTCTTTAAAACCAGGGAACAGTGAAATTCACTGTTCCCTGTTTTAAAACAAATAAAACAGATAACATATTTATTTAAAAATAACAGATTTTACATAGATTTTACCTATTATATTTCTATAAATTATGATCACAAACATCTCATTAAGCAAAATATTGTAAATATGCCTATTAAAGTATTAACTCATTATTAAAGTATTATTTGAGCACTGTTAGTATTATTATCTCCACCAGGAGATATATGTTTTTGTTCCGTGATGTTTTGTGTGTGTGTTTGTAACGCTTTGCTATTTCAGTTTTTTTTTTCTTATGTTCAAAATATCTCAAAAACGGCTGCACAGAAATAACTGAAAATAACAGCGAGTGTTAGGTACAATACAATGAAGAAATTATTAAATTTCGGTGACTGTCCGGAGTAGGGTATGGATGTGAGGATCATTATGAAGAATTAAACTAAAATGTATAATTAAACTAAAATGTATAATTAATGACAAGTCCCATCCTCTGTTTAAAATCATATTTCAGTAAATCCGGTAGAATTATTCCATCAATTAAGAAGACTGAACACCATAACAAATCATTTATTCCGTGTGCAATCAGGAAATACAATAAGCAATTTAAAAGATACCTTGAGATTTTTTGTATTTTATCCTGGTATGTAAGTGTGCTAAACTTTTATATAATTTTACTCGATTATAGTGCAATTTTATGCAACGTTTATCGGTTTATATATTTTTAATGATTTTTATATCATTTTACGCATAGGTTAACTTATTTTATATCGTATTCTTTGTATGGTATTTTAGTATGTCACTGTTTTTATTGTGACCCTTGGAAAGCAAATTTCATTTACTTTGTTTATGACAATAAATTTTGAACTTAACTAGTTTACCGTATTACCGTAGGCAGAAACAATATCTATATGATGAATATTTAAATTAGTGCAGTTACAGTAAATGTGTACAGCATTTTATATGTACTAACTTCACTTTTTTCAGAACTTATTGGAAATATTTTTAATTCATCTTTTCATCTAAACATGTGACGCTAAAAACCAAATCCCCGTATTTCTATTTCCAAAATATTTCCATTTCAACACCAATACATTGCATGTATTTTGTTTGTCAGCTATAGGAGTAAAACTTGCCAGTAAGTTACCATGGACCATTCAAAGCAAAATGTCGCAGATCAGATATCTCAAAAACTTAACTCCTCATCTAAATTAAACTTTCGTGTTGGTGTAATTTTTTAAAAGTACATTGTGGTTGGAAAGTACATATTTTTGAGGAATTTTGAATAGAAGATATTGGCGGTTGGCGGAGTTATGCTCTCTACTAAGTGCTCTTGTTATTATTACTGTTATTATTATTATTTTATACATTATTTATAAACCATTGAAAACATGAATTATGTGGACAAAATTATCATAGAAAATAAACTTCGAGCACTGTTATCATTACTGGTATCATTATTATTTTAGACCTAATCAATTTGATACAATAATGTCACTATAATGTTATTTTTTAAAACAGAATGAAATAGATAAAATAGTTATTTAAAATACAGGTTTTGCATAGATGTAAGTTGATTTAGTATGGTGATTCATTATCTCATTAATCAAATTATCGTAAATTGGCCTATAAAAGTTTACTTTAAATTACTAAAGTATTGTTAATTCATTATTATTATCTACTAAGTGCTCTTATTATTATTATTATTATTATTTGATAAATTACTTAAAAACCATTGTATTATAACATTGAAAACATGAATTATGTAGAAAAATTTATCACATAAAATAAAATTAAAATTTATAAGATTATTTTTTAAAACAGAATAAAATTGATAAAATTGTTATTCAAAATACAGGTTTTGCATAGACGTTTGATTTAATATGCTGATTCATTATTTCATTAATCAAACTATCGTAAGTAGATCAATGGAAGTAATTATTAATTCATTATTAAAGTATTATTCGAGCACTGTTATTATTATTATTATTATTTTATAATTATTTACAAACCATTGTATAACATTAAACACATGAATTATGTGGACAAAATTATCATAGATAATAAACTTAATATAATTTATAAGATTATTTTTTAAGACAGAATGAAATAGATAAAATTGTTATTTAAAATACAGGTTTTGCATAGACGTAAGTTGATTTAATATGCTGATTCATTATTATCTCATTAATCAAACCATCTTAAATAGGCCTCTTGAAGTATTATTATTTCATTATTAAAGTATTGTTCGAGCACTGTTATTATTATTATTATTTTATAAACTATTTATAAGCCATTGTATAACATTGAAAACATGAATTATGTGGACAAAATTATCATAAAAAATAAACTTATAATTTATATGATTATTTTTTAAAACAGAATAAAATAGAAAAAATTGTTATTTAAAATACAGTTTGACGTAATCAATTGTTGATTCAATAATTTCACTATAATGTTATTATTTTTTAAGACAGAATGAAATAGATAAAATTGTTCTTTAAAAGACAGGTTTTGCATATACGTATGTTGATTTAATATGCTGATTCATTATTGTCTCATTAATCAAACTATCGTAAATAGGCCTATTAAAATATTACTAAAGTATTATTAATTCATTATTAAAGTATTATTTGAGCACTGTTATTATTATGGTGATTCTGCGAACCTACTTTCCTGTCGATTATTTTATAAACTATTTATAAGCCATTGTATAACATTGAAAACATGAATTATGTGGACAAAATTATCATAAAAAATAAACTTATAATTTATATGATTATTTTTTAAAACAGAATAAAATAGAAAAAATTGTTATTTAGAATACAGTTTGACGTAATCAATTGTTGATACAATAATTTCACTATAATGTTATTATTTTTTAAGACAGAATGAAATAGATAAAATTGTTCTTTAAAAGACAGGTTTTGCATAAACGTAAGTTGATATAATATGCTGATTCATTATTGTCTCATTAATCAAACTATCATAAATAGGCCTATTAAAATATTACTAAAGTATTATTAATTCATTAGTAAAGTATTATTTGAGCACTGTTAATGTTATTATTATGGTGATTCTGCGAATCTGCTTTCCTGTCGATTTTCTATGCATATTTGAGCTACTTTTTGATGTCATCCGTGCAATTAATTAATACTTAACAGTGTTTAGTTTTAGTTTCAGTCACTGATCTGAATTGGTGTCCATGCCTACACCTTTATAGTTTTGACATCGTTGAGGGCAGTTTGGGTGTCTATAAACCGAAGACCCATAAACGAAGACCCCTATTTTTTCTCTTTCATTTTGATGCTAATACACCAGGCTGTCACAAAATCATCAGTCATATTAATGACATAAATGAAATAATTTTATTATTTTGATCTCTGCAATTGTATTACCCTGATAATTTATATTAATTTTCAATTAAAAAATTATTTTATGAAAACTTGAAATTTATTTTAAAATATTTTAATTAGAGAATATAACAGTTTATGTGTTGTAATATTGAAATTAAAATGTCTATTCTTAATGTTAAATCAGGTCAAACGTTATCCCACAAAGTATTTTAAAATGAACATGAAATTCATAATAAGAACAATTTTTTTTGACTCACCATTCAGCAAAATTAACGAGCACAAAACGAGAAAACAACATTATAGCCACTGGTCCTATGGTTTGCTGATATCTTCAGAAGTGCATTTTGAAATGTTAGACTTTTGCATAATTTTTACTGAAATAAAATACATACATTCATAAAATAAACAGAATACATCATTAATATTTAAATGTTTATTAACTTTGATTACAAACACTAAATGTAAACTGTAATTCTAGAATAACAATTGTCTATAGCCAATAAAAACATTATCATATTATTATCCCTTCTTAAATTTTAAAATAGGTCAAATAATGAAATTTTAATATTAATCATTAATATAATTTTAATAACAAGAATTACATAAATGTAATTTATATTAATAAATATTTATACAAACAGAATAACATAATTCAAAAGTCTGAATAGTAGGCCTATTGCTTGTACATTATCGCTGTACGTTTTAGATGTATCCACCGTGCAATTCAAATATTTGACGTATGGCCAGCCCTGACGACATACATCAATTTTGTCTTTTTTTTTTTTTAAAGTGCTTAGTTTTTCCTTTTATCGTCTTTTTTAATTTCCTCTTGTGGAAGTAGTATTGCGACTACACTATAATGAGTGGAAATACTTCCGTCTAATTTACGATCAAACAGGACTAGGGAGATAGGAAGCACACAAAACATTATCTAGCATTTTTATTTCACAAACATAAAGGTGGTTTACATAATTAATCATTATCATGACGTCATGGTGAGATTTCGTCAACATAGCATCAGAGTTCGTAAACTTCTGGTATCACTACCGGTACTTAAATAAGTCGAAATAGATAGACCTATCCGTACCAAAGGCTGTACTGTATAATTATGTTTAATAATGGCTATATAGAATTCAATTTACTATAACTATTTGAAATTTGGAAAAACAGGAATCTACTGTATGTATGCTGATAATATTAAACACTACCGCAGTATATACGGGTCTTAATAATATAGAAAAGGAATAAATCGTTTAGATTATAATTGTTCACTTTTGAGTTTGTAAAAATGTTGGCCTAACACGCTTCCGATTCTAACAATGTACAGTACATATGTTTTCGCAATAAATTAACACTCTGATAACCGCACCCATAAAATCGATGGAGTGGTTACTGAGATGGTTTTGAAAGGCCAAAAATTGTGTTTTTTACTCAGCTTTGGCAGCGCACTTGAAACAGAGCACATGTGAACAGACAAAATTCATACAGTCATTCATAATTGTTGTTCTTTCCACTCGATTTGAAAAGTGGGGTTTTAACTACTGTATAGAAGATTAGTCAAAAGTGGGGGAGACAATTGGTATGATGTCCCCTTACTTTGAAAATTGGAGGACGGGTCCCCCTGTCCACCACTGATCGACGCCCATGATTAAGATTTTCGTCAGTTCGTGTGAAAATTATATACATAATTGAAGTTTATTTATATGGTATTTCAACGGATTCGTCCCCTCGTGTGAACCATCCTGAGCTCTACTTATCGCAAACACACGGTATCGTGCGATGGTATTAGCATGTACATACACAAAAACACATTTGCGATGTTTTTTGGTTTATTTATTACATTTACATCCAGCGTTAGGCCCAATGAATTGTTTAAATGCTTAAATAACTGAAAACATAAATTAGGTGGATAATAATAGAATTTACAATAAAACTTATAATTTATAATATTATTCTTTAAAACAGAATAAAATAGATAACATTTTTATTTAAAAAAACAGATTTTACATAGATTTTACCTATTATATTTCTATAAATTATGATCAACAAATATCTCATTAGTTAAAATATTGTAAATATGCCCATTCAAGTATTAACTTATTATTAAAGTATTATTCGAGCACTGTTAGTATTATTATCTCCGCCAGGAGATATATGTTTTCGTTCCGTGATGTTTTTGTGTGTGTGTTAAACGCTTTGCTGTTTCAGTTTTTTTTTCTTATGTTCACAATATCTCTGTTAGGTACAACACAATGAAGAAATGATTAAAGAGTAGGGTGTGGATGTGAGGATCATCATAAAGAATTTGTCCTAGACAAGGTATCTCAAAAACTAATCAACCGATATAAACTTTCATGAAAGTTTAACCAAGTTACAAGGAAGAAATTGTCGAGTGTAGGTATCGATCCAAATTCTGGGGGTGGACGTGAGGGTCATCATCAAATGTTTAAGGTCCCATGTGTTTCTTGTGTTCAAAATATCTCAAAACAGCTGCACAGATTTAAATGCCTGTTACAAGGATTGTTAGGTATGAAGGTGATGAGGTGATTAAATTTTGGTGACCATCCAGCGTTAGGGTGTGCGTATGAGGACCATTTAAATGAAAACGTCCCAGAACAGATATTTCAAAAACTAATCACCAGATATGAATGAAACTTTTGTGAAAGCTTAACCGAGGCACAAGGAAAAAATTAGTAAGTGCTGGTGATATGATGATCCAAATTCGGGTGTGCATTTGAGGGCCAAAAGCTCACAGACCTAAATATCTCGAAAATAGATCAATGGATAAAAATGACAATTGGCAGAACATTTTTCATGTTTTAATAAAGAAGTGTGTCAATTTTAGTAGCGATCGGAATTAGGGTGTGGATATGAGGACCATTTAAAGAATTAGTTTATCGTATTACTGTAGGCAGAAACAATAGCAATATGATAAATATTTAAATTAGTGCAGTTACAGTAAATGTGAACAGCATTTTATATGTACTAACTTCACTTTCTTTCTAAACATATAGGGAATATTTTTAATTCATAACTCATAATTCATCTAAATTAAACTTTTGTGTTGGTGTAATTTTTTTAAAGTACATAGTGGTTGGAAAGTACATATTTTTGAAAAAAATTTTTAATAGAAGAGATTGGTGGTGGGCGGAGATATGCTCTCTACTGAGTGCTTTTGTTATTTTATAAATTATTTACAAAACCATTGTATAACATTGAAACATGAATTGCATAGGCGTATGTTGATTTAATATGCTGATTCATTATTATCTCATTAATCAAACTATCGTAAAAAGGTCTATTAAAGTATTACTAAAGTATTATTAATTCATTATTAAAGTATTATTTGAGCACTGTTATTATTAAGGTGATTCTGCGAACCTACTTTCCTGTCGATTTTCCATGCATATTTGAGCTACTTTTTGATGTCATGTGTGCAATTGTGGCAAAGACAAGCCAAACCAGTCACTCGTCGCAAAAATCGATTTTGAGTTATTAATACAGTATTAGAGAGTAAAATAATAGCTATAAAATGGTAAAAAATCATTCAAATTGGACATTTCCTTATGAAGTTACAAGCGTTTAAACATACAGCTGTAAAATGGTAAAAAATCATTCAAATTGGACATTTCCTTATGAAGTTACAAGCGTTTAAACATACAGCTGTTTAAAGAACAACATATGAGAAATCAGCCTTCAAAGTTTATGATTTCAGGCATTTCTCATGCAGAAACGATCATTAAATCCTTAAAAAGTGTTGTTTTAACA